TATTAAAATTATTCCAGACGCAATTCAACACAAGAAGAGAACCTGTATTAAAATTATTCCAGACGCAATTCAACGCAAGAAGAGAACCTGTATTAAAATTATTCCAGACGCAATTCAACGCAAGAAGAGAACCTGTATTAAAATTATCCCAGACGCAATTCAACACAAGAAGAGAACCTGTATTAAAATTATTCCAGACGCAATTCAACACAAGAAGAGAACTTGCACTAAAATTATTCCAGACGCAATTCAACACAAGAAGAGAACCCGCACCGCGAAGATCCTCTTCTGCGCGAGCTGCAGCCCGCACTCGTCGGAGCAATACTTGCTGTGGGGTCTGGCAGCCCTGACGCACCCTGGACCCTGACACTGCCGCCTGCCACCGTCCTCGTCGTCGCTGCCACCGCGGACCTCCTCTGCCTTGCGCTTGCGGCCGCCGCCGCCACCTCCTGCCACCGTCGTCTTCTTCTGGTAAGTGAATGAGAAATTGGTGAGACACCAGCAGTGATAGGAGATAAAGACACCAGCAGTGATAATGTTAGAAAATAGGAGAGACATTTTTTGATGCATATTATTCTGGTAAGTGAATGGAAAATTGTTGAGACACCAGCAGTGATTGGATAATGGCTGTAAAATATGGGAGACATTTTTTGATGTATATTATTTGCGTCAGGCATTTTCGTTGTAATCCAAAAACCGTGGTTGAATTGGAAACAATCAATGATGCAGTGTAATCAACAAGGGACCGAAATTAGAAAGACTGTGCAAGAAATGCAAACATCCACGGGCTGAGATGCCGATATTTAAAGAAAAATCTTTGAATGGTTAACCGAATTCAAGCTTGTGGCGACTTGTTAGTTGATGACAACATAAGAAATTTTTATTCGTTGCAATACGTAATAGAACGTCTGTTCATGCCTTAGGATGAATGTGTGTTGTTAATTTCGACAATTGGAAAAGAAAAATATGGAAACTATTAGAAATTCCGAACCAAAAAAAAAAAGTCCTGAAAACACAAAAACAGAATTCTAAGTGAGTTTTAGGGCGCCTGTCTAGGTGCCTCTCAGTTAGTTAGTTACACTGTTTGAAGAAAATGGTAAAATAGTTTTATTTCACAGGTCGGCCGTCTACTAAGATGCCATCAAACCATTTTTTTAAGTTTTTTTTTACTGTGTACGTGAATCGCATCTCAATACCTTTTTAATCTTATTCTTTGTCTTCGCAGCAGGCGGCTCCATTATTTTTCCAGCAGGTTCCCATGCATCGTCATCGCTTAGACGCTCGTTGCGATCCTTGAGGACAGTGCGTGACCGCTCGTCATCGTCGTCGCTGCTCGACTGCCACAAGACGTCGCTGCGGGGCAACTTGGCCGCCAGTCGCACGGGAGGTGCGGGCGGGAGAACATTTATGTCTCCTGACGCTCGAGCTTCCGGAGTGGTAACAGGACGATTCAATGGAATACCGGAATTTGTCGCAACCTGTGAAATTAAGACAATTAGAAAAAATTTCCATTAAATCCTGAAATATGTAAAGATTATGGCGCTTGAGCTTTTGATATCACCAAAGGACAATTCATTGGAAGACCAGCATTCGTCATAACCTGAAAATTTTTGATCAATTAATTATGGAAGATGTAAAGAGAATGACTATTAAGCAAAGATTATCGCGACAGGACAATTCAATGCAGTATCAGAAATCGTCGTCAGAAACCTATGCACATGGGATTTTATAATAAAACTCTAAATTATACAAGATATGACGACTATGAATATATGTAAAGTCACACGCTAGATCAGTATTGAAGGATGTTACTTATCAATGCTCAGCGCAAAACTTGTTTAGCTCAATGATGTCAGAAATACAATGCAGTTATGCCTTTTATTTGCTGAAATTAGGGCTAAATGAAGTCAGAAATAAAATGTATAAAAACTTCCATTTACCGCATTTTAATTTCCAAAAATCTTACATCATTATAAACTAAGTCATTAAACATCCTATCATTGTCAATTATTCTAGCAATCGTATAGATAGTTTAGAACAATGAAAATAGTCAAGTGGCAAAGAAACTGCATTATTTTTCAAGAAGATTTGCAACACAACTAATATTCTTGAAATAAAAGGCTCTTTGATAAATATATACTTACCTGAATGTAATATAAACTTCTAGTATAATAATAATGTATATGATGTAGGTATGTAATTGAAATGGCTCACCTGATTTCTACAGCACCGTGCAAGGCAGCTCTGGTTCTTGTCTCCCCCGACGCACGTGACACACACACCGCAGTCTCGCGGTGTACGACAGGCGTCGCAGGTGCCACATTTAATTCCTGGCACCATTATATCCTTTAAATCTACGCTCAACTGCCGGCCTGATAACTTCCCTGCATTTTTAGAACTATTACTACTAATACCACTAGTTTTACTTGGTAATGAATTAGATGTTTTTGAAGAATTATTTGTACTACTAAGCTGAGGTGAATCCTTATTGCTGGATTTGCTTTGCGTAGTAGGAGCTATGAGCGCGCTTGCGGTTGTTTGTTTGGGACGAGATAAGGTTTTTTCGAGGATGCTTGAAAACACCCCACTGGTTTTATCACTTTTAATAACATCTTGTATGGTGTCTCGCACAATGTCTCCACTCGAGCTTGGTATGGAATTTGAAATATTCAATGGAGCTGAGGGCTTCTCTTTCACTGGAGCACTTGGAGTGGCAACTTCATGACAAGGAGTCTTGACTGATGACCCGTTGGCAGTGACTTCTAGATTTGAAAATTTTTTTGCAGCTGAAAAAGAATATGTATGTACTGCAGCTTCATATTAACATAGACTGCAATAACTACCTACATAATTTCAAAGTGAACTAAGAATAGAAGTCCAACTAAACAAAATATATACAATACAATACTACAATACAATATGCAATGTAGACCAACAAGGGACTAATTGTAAGGCTTGAAAAAGGACCATTTTTATGACTTTAAAATGGACCAGTTTGTGACTTGACAAGAAACAAGTTTGATGCATTAGAAACCTAGAGTAGGTACGTATGCATTTTGAGTCATGTTTTCTACAAATAGTAAATTTCACAATATTGAATCTTTACAATTTATGTGGTGAACAAAAACCAAGTTTGTACAGCACAGGAAAATACCTGTTTAGGTTTGCATATACTTGAACATCAGAAAAACAATTACCTAAATACATTTATGATAGTATTTGGAAAAATAAATTGAGCTTAATATAAATTCTTACCCATTTTTGATTCTGTCTTGAGGCTTTTTTCTTTATGGCTTTTGGACTCTTTGCTAGGAGTGTTGGACGATCCTTTGGGTTTGTCCTTCTTCTTTACTTTGCCATCAATATGTGATTTACTTTCTTTATGAATATCCTTGACTTTCTTTTTATCAGATGTTCCATCCAATTTTTCATAACTTTTATCTTTGCTGAGTTTCTTATCTTTGTGGATTTCGTCTTTAAGGCACTTTTCTTTAGATTTGTGTTTGATATTATCAGGACTTGTTGCAACTTTACTATATTCTCTTCTAGGTGATTTGCATTTACTTTTATCTTTACTGGCAGGAGATTCTCTATCCTTACTATCCTGCAGGAAGGACTTTTTATGTTCCTTTGGCTTGGCAATTTTACTTTTATCTTTCTTAGCTTGCACTTTTTCTTCAATTGATCTGTCAGTGGATTTTGAGGAAAATCCTTTTGATTCTTTTGTTTTGTCATCTTTCTTTGGTCTATCTTTGTCTTTACTGTGCTTTTCTGATGAATTAAGAACCTTACTTACTTTGTAGCGGATTTGAAGGCTTGGATTTTTCTCACGGCAAACCTGATCAAACAAAAATTATAAGGCATTTTCTTTATTGTAAGGGTAATTTAATACAGTCTGGACTGTTAAGCAATTAATAATATTTGTAGGCACAAATTCATTAAGTGGAAACACTTGTTTATTGTATACATACCACTAAACCTGTATGACCATTGGGTTTGTGAGGAGTTATTTACTGACAGCAGTTACTCAAATTACAACAGTTTGCACAGTCAAATGAATTTGTGAGATAAATTCCTTGCAAATTTATCAAGATTTAAGATTAACATGTGCTGTACCTGGCAGAAAAACTTCTTAATGATGCCTGCTTCCTTCTCAGTGACATTGATGCAGTCACCATGATACCATTCTTCACAGTTATCACAAGCTCTGCACAAACAGAAAATTAGCAGTTCTATTGTAAAACAAGGGATTAGAATTTTCCTACCTATTACTAAAATCCACAAAGTGACAAATTTTGGAATCTTGTAGCCCGATGGAATACTTTTGTTAACAGTTAGATAATAGCCTTTTCATCTAGTAGGAATCTGGTAATTTATTTACCTATACATCCATGACTAGAGCTTTCCTGTTGTTGCCTCCAATCTCCCATTACCTCCCATCTAACAAATGAGCACAATTGGGCCACAAGATTCCAAATGCATTGAAAAATTGTCACTTTGGAGCCTAAAGATTCAAGTATAAATAGATAAATTCAAATCCTTGCGGCAATCTTGCAGCTCCAAAAATGACAAGAAAGCTCTAGTGGTAGTAATGGCTCAAAATTTCATTATATTTCTTGCCTAAAGAAATGCAGTCTTTGAACAACTGTTTGAAAATTACAAATGAAATGATAAATTTGTAATAAGGGAAGGTTTTGAGCATCTTTTGTTAATAACTTCTTACCATGAAACATTTAATAAACAAATTTGGGCTCATTTTAAAGGCCTTTTAGGGCTATTGTATGGCATCTCTGAAATAATTCCTTATGCTATTTGTAAGGAGCCAGATGAGTACACTCATCCACTACTAACAGTATTCTGAAGTCTTCCTTTGTAGATGATATAGCTGTAGATTAAAATACATTTTCTGTGATTTTTACTTCTTTTTCCTTCTCTGATATATCACCATAACCATATTATAAGGTATATTAATTATTATTATTTTTAACTATTTATTAACATTACCGTATTATTGATGTGATACCGGTATTACAATAACCATGAACATGCCATTGAGCATTTACAACAACCTTGTCCACTGCAAGCTTCATACATATAAGCAGCCAGCCATATAGGAGTTCTTCTGTAACTGTATGCTTACAGGATGGCTTTTAATTTCACACCATTTTAATTGGGTGAAGTGAATTCACAATAAGAAAGAAAAATCATAAAAAACATACCTGAAACAGAAAAGAATATTTTAATGACAACATATTTTTTTGCAGAAATAAATCATAGTTTAGGTTAATTACTTTTCGTTTTATGTTGCCCAGTGCACAGTTCTATCTATGACATCCTATGCACAATTTTGTAATGACCGATGATGCATTAATTTTTCATTAAGTACCTATAATTATTTTTGCTGAGCATGTAAATGTAATAAAAAATTTTGTTTTTAATTGATTTTTTTGTTAACTGGAATCTTTGCTAATCAAGGTTCTACCCTAAATGTATTTTTTGGGGTATCCCTTATTACCCCATCTTGCAGGAATGGCTGCCATTTTTTTTGCAGAAGATATGCAAATTCCATCAATCACGTTTTTAAGCCAAGACCTATATGCAACTTAGATCTAGGTACAATTTTTTAATATGGCATTTTTTTTGTTACAGACCTTAGCAGAGGTACTTTTCCAAAATTTCACTCTTTACACTTTTTTCATGGATCTTTTAGAAGTAGTAAATGTATGATTTCTTAACTTGCTTAATACTACATAGATAGTAAAAATGTTGAACTTTATGCTACTTTTTTCAGTTTTGCAATATTTTGATTAGTTTTGCTGCTACAACATTTCTACAAAATGAGGGACAACTGTCCCAATTTACCCACCCATCCCTTATTACCCTGTTACAGATTACAGAGTATATCTAACTAACCTTTCTCTTTCTGTCACATCCAGATTGTCCCTGCCATTTTTAGAGCTGCAAGTTTGCTGCTAGATGAATTATTTCCTATCTAATTGCTAATAGGATAAACGCGGTATATTCCGACACATTAAGGACGCATCGAGAAATGAAAAACTATAAAAAAATAACCGTATGCATTAATCGAGTTCTGTTTGCTTTGTGTGACTCGCAAAACACCGTACTACGCGCCAGCAACAATGAAACGTCACAAAATGTTGCCATATTTATTTAAAAGCCTTTAGAATGCAAACCTACCAAATCCCTATATTCCAACACTGTGTGTGGCAATATTTGGCACGTGGGGAGGCGTATTCCGTCTGCGCTTCAAATTCTACTGATACGTAATGCTGTCATCCACGTGTTCGAATTCCGTTTGCTGTGTGAGCTGTATTGGAATACAACATGACTTTGAATTATAACACTAATGAATATTGAACACTACTTAATTTAGCTTTTAATTAACAACTACGGTATTAAGCTTTTAATTAAGCAAATTTTAATTTTTGTACATAGCTTGGAACGATCTATGTGTGTCCAATTCAAGTTGTGACGGAATTAGTTTTCATGTGTCTAAATCTACGTCACCATTTCAACCATCAACGAACACATGGAACTAAAACAAAGCTTAATATAAAGGAAAAACTAGAGAGGTGACGGAATTACCCACGATGTCAGAATATATCGCGTTTACCCTTCAATTGTAAAAAATTAACATTTAGCATTTGAGCTGCAGAAGTCTGAATATACAAAAATTGGTCACTATTCTACTGGAAGATTTTATTTATGAGTAGGAAAATTCTAATTTAAAATTTTTATAGCCTAACTTATCTACGAAACTAAAAATTTTTTGTTAATTATATTTTTAACCGAAAAATTTTTATTCAAACTAAAATCTAAGTCTTCAAACTTCTAAAGTTATAGGACCTTATTTTCACTAAAATTTTTTTTTCTGAAGTCATGAAATTTTAGAAAAAAACCTATAGGTTTCCATTTTGCACTTTTTAGTACCTAAAATATGAAGACAATTTCTTAGTTCTGACTAACGACGTATACATATAGAATTGTAAATATTTCAATTGTATTTTATTACAAAAATAATCAGCATTAATTTTTGGAGATTCCTTCCCACGTTCAGAATTAGGAACAAAGAACCTAGGGCCTATTTGATTATTTTGATACATTTTGCAAATTTGCAAGAACCTTCTAATGGCTTGATTGTTTAGCTATCATAAGCTATGCTGCACTGCACTGCTGACTGCACTCTGCAGGTCTGCAGCTAGGAGCCTAGGACAAATATACGACACTGACTTACTGACTGACAGTGATTTCTCAGAGTCAGAGAGACTGAGGTGTGTGAGATGGAGTGAGTTCTGAACTGAAGAGTGCAGAACCAGAAGAGAGATGAGAGACGGCATACAAAAAAGAACAATTTACAAATGTACTTACATCATAAACCGGGATACGTCACTGGAACGACAAATACAATATATTTCCTCTTCTTCATCACTCATGATTAAAATATTTTAGTTTGCAATTGACTGAATTGAGAATTGGGCAATGAGCAATACTGCTGAGTGCTGACAGGGTTACAGTTACAGCTGACTGAAGACTAAATTATCTTGATTTATCTTTAAGATGACTAAATTAACTGAAACAATTTCCACACGAATCACATAAGAACTTCGGATCACAGGACATGGTAAACAATAGAACCTTAAACGCGGATTTTATTCAATAAATCTAATTAATTGTTGGATTTCATACATGTATATTTTTAAAAATTCGCACAATTATTTTTTCAGTGCGACTTTTTCAATCCAATCAATCATTGTGACTTGAAATTTTTTTGCTTGCGCAAACAACTAAACGTCTTCATTTCTCTTCTAGCAAGAGACTATGATAAGCAACAGACAACAGTCTGCAAATTAACATGACATGTAACATTTATTTTAGGTGATACTTCTTGAAAGTACTTCTCTCAAAAAAATTCTATGAGGTTCAATCAGTATATTTAAATGATTTTTATCTGTACATCATAATGTCACGGACCACGCCATCCGCGATCTAGTTTAGTTAGCGTCTGGGAACATTGCATCTCGTCCATCTGTTGGCTCAGGCGCGTGCTTAATCCGCAGTTCGTCCAGGGCTTCCGTTGGTGGCGGTGTGGTGTATTTCTATAGTGTGTACCGTAATTTATATGCACGTGTGAGGAATTGAAACTTTTCAGGACTGGACATGTTCGTGATTCTAGCAATAATGATCCGAAATCAGCGATACTCCTGAAATCCTTACTGAGTGTTTATCATTCCTTCTGCCTTTAGTAAGAAAAATAAATTGGTAGTTTATTTGAAAGAAATAAATTAGAAATCATCATATCGCATGTCAAGCTCATCAACAAAAATATTATTTGGCCATAGATAACTTGTAATGAGGGTTTCCAGCTAAAAATTAGTGTTTGAAATTTAATTCAACGTGTCCTTACAAGAAGCTACCAACATTCCCTTTGTTGCTATAAAATATGTACCGTATTAGGTGTGCCTCAATGCTTTAATTTTCATTTCATTGTTTGCTGGTGTTTTGAGGGCTGATGACTGACATTATATATCAAAAATTACAAAATGATTATCCCCTCGCCAATGTCGCTTTCTAAAATATTTTTAATTATTGTTTTATATTGAAAACTATTCGATATATATTACTTGCGATCGTTTCTATGGCCTTGAGCTATAGAAGAACGGGAAAATTTTGCCGCCCTCAGTTCAAAATAGATGAATGTGACTTAATCGTAATTAAGCCTTCAATTACTCCCCACCCTGCCGCGTATATTTACAGCTATTCACGGCCACCTGAATTACCTTATTCGGAGTAATAACCTTGTAATAACTTGAATACAATAATGGTTATAATAATATTTATAGCCTTATAATAACTTTAATAACCGAAATAACCTTATTCGAGGTAGTTAAAAACTGTTTCCTTGCAAAAATGTATTCTTAAGAGACAATGGATTGAAAATTCTTGACCAAACGGGCTGACAAGACTAAACTATCGTTATTAGCGTATGCTAGTTAATCGCATGTCGTATCAAAATTTTAGACAAAAGTGGAATTTTAGAGGCGGGAAGTTTTATGAGATCGTGATGCCTATCTTCAAAGCCACACAAGTCGCCACCCAGTATATCTGCATTTGCTTCACCGCTCGCCTCTTAAAACCGTTTAATACTGGTAAGAACTTTCATTTGTAGGGTTCGATCGTTCCCGCTCGAGAGACGTGGTTTAGCTTTTGTTTTTAAAATTAATGGTTTTTATTGGAGGCTGGCGACTGTAGTTCTGCCGGCAAAGCTATCGGCATTTACTGTAGGTCTGTTGATCGATTTTGGGCCTTAGTAGTTAATATGTTTATTTGTTCAATGGCGTATTATGGTTAGCACTTGCAGTGTCTTATTTATTTTCAGTGAGTATTAAACAGTTTGGACTAACCCTGTAAATTTTGAACGTTTAAAGTTTATCTCGTATTGATAAGCGAGATGAGCCATATAATGGACGAATGATCTTATCTGCAGTTATCTTTCGCCAGAAAGCGTGGGTTGTAATTGGCCTAATATAAATATAGATTTGTTATTCATTTTTTCATCCTTCTAGCCGTTCGTTATTGTTTTCATCCTTCTAAACAATTCTACTAAATTCGCCACTGCACTTATGCCGCCAACCTTCAAATAAACGATTTATTATGTAAAAAAAAAAATGGGCGACAACTTTGTAGCGCAATCGTTACAGCATTTTAGGTATTTTGTGGTAATCGAACCCTACAAATCGTAATTCTAGCTAGTGTAATACGGCTTTATTTACGAGCGGCGAGTTAAGTGCAGTCGCTCCTGAGTGGCGACTAATGGGTCATTGAGGTCAAGTTGATGTTATAGCGGGAGCGCAGCCGTGCACCACCAATTTTGTGCACCAATAAGCCCTGAATCGAACGCCTTGGATCTCTCCGGACATCCACCAATCAGCCGTCAACCATGTAGAATGTTTTTCCATGCCTTTGAATTGTGCATAAAGATTACAAACAGCCAATGATTAATCAAAAGTTTGTGTCCTATAAATATGTTCCTACTATTATTTGAAACCGATTGTATCAAGTCGCTGGGAACTCAAATTTGTTCTCTGGTGTTGCCAGTTAAACTATTAGTGACAGAAAAGCTCGTACGTGTAGGAGGAATTAATGTGCTTGAAGATTGTTATAGCTACGGTCACGAAGTGGCAGGTTATGGGCTTTGTTTTGACGCCTGCGATCAATGAAAAGTCACGATTTGAAAAATAACAAAAATCGAATACTTCTGCGCTTGCTGTAATAACCCATGGCGACGTGACATGTTGTGCTCCCTGACTCCACATAAACGCGCAATATTCCCTTCGTACGTAAGTGTGGCGCTAGGATTTACTGAAAATTGACGAGATCTTCGGAAAAACTTGTATTTAACCAAGAAACAAGTTCATATTTGATAGCTTCATATGGGGATGCATGTGAATTGCCTTAGTTTAATTGGATTTTTGACAATAGTTTCGTCACAAAAACTAACAGTTCAGGAAGAAAAGTGTCGATCAGTAACTGGAATATCTTTAAACTTTAGTCACAGTGGACATATTTTTACATTGAATGCTAATAATTTAAATTTAGAATGACGAGGATCCTCATCGTCACTGTGGATGTTTAATGATTGTTCGTCTTCGAGATAGAAAAAATATCGTGCTTCTTAATATTCGAAGCACAAATGCTTGCCTGTATTGATGCATATGCCCCTATATCCTATAGATACAATAACTCTAGTCTGTGTTGATACGTAGGCCCCTATATGTCCCATACAATAACTCTAGTCTGTGTTGATATATACGTAGGCCCCTATATATCCCATACAATAACTCTAGTCTGTGTTGATACGTAGGCCCCTATATATCCCATACAATAACTCTAGTCTGTGTTGATACGTATAGGCCCCTATATTCTATACAATAATTCTAGTCTGTCTTGATACATATGCCTCTATATCCTATACAATAACTTTAGTCTGTCTTGATACGTTGGCCCCTATTACAAATACAATATATAAGGCTTGTCTGCATAGGTACGCACTGTCAAGTATTCGATAAATGTTGTTTTCTTTAACCTGTATGAAAATAATCTATACTCTCACAATCAGTGCTAAAATTTCAGCTGTACTAATACTTTACGAAGAAGATCCTTGTTCGCAACGTAAAGTTTTCCGAGGTCCACGTGCTTTAAAAATCCCTGTAATCGCCAGAATTTTTTTCATCCAGTTTCCGCTGAAACTGATGACAATCTTCTGGTCCTTGGGTTGTGGATAAAGGGAACACAAGTGAACATATATTGGATCTAAAAATCTATAACTACATTTTCTTTCAATGTTAAGCTAATATTTTGGAACTGATAATGGTAACTGGCGGCAAGATTGATCTTTAATCTATGAACCGTCTATGCTACATATCCACCCTGGACTTGGAGTATTGGTAGTGCAGGCATCCGCATGGCAGACTATAATTACACGGAGGTGGTCATCAGGGCCTTCATTATTTATTTGCGCGTGACTTGATGCTAAAAAGACTCGGTCTATACACCGGCCACTGCACACACGCGCGCATAACTTCGCTAAAATCGTCCCATGAAATTGTCAGGCTGACTCGTGTATTGTTGAGTATCATGACATAACGTTTACGAATAACTTCTTGCCGGATATATAAATAAGTTTTCTCAACTTTAACAAGATTTGATAATTTTCTTGTTAAATACATTACAGTTTGATGACATTATGATCATAGTCTTCTTCAAGTTGGAATTGCGGACGGATTAAAAAAAATAATTAATTAATTTGTTATTAATTAAATTAATAAATAAATTATTGCCACCGTTCCTTATCTCGCCATGCACTCAACGTTGGAATGTTACCAGCTCTAGAAACAAATTACGGGACGCAGTATTTACAGCCAGCTTTTAAATGCAAGACTTTCAGATGGATTATCATGGACGGTACTTGGTTGTGCTAGAACTTCTTGCCTGTCTTCTGCTGTCTTCGCTGATACTGCCAGCAAATGGAGAAACTGCGTCAGGTGAGAATATCCCCGATATAAATTGTTCAAAATTGTTAATGAATTTCCACAATTTTTTTACGACATGATTGATTTTGTATATAATAATTTACTCGATGTAACAATGTCACCCATGCCGAACAATATAGTCCTCAAATGTTGTTCCATGAGAATCAAGTCTCTGGAGTTTCATTTCTAATGAAAACATCCTACCTTGCTTAGATTTTTAAATTAATTTTCGAATCTTACGAGCCAAACTGTTATATAGCATTTAGATTGCAACATACAATCATGTATGGCAGTTATCACTTGCATCGCGTATAGGCCTTGCAATTCACCTCTCTAGTTGTCTAGCGACCTTTGATCAGTTGATAAGATATATAATTTTGTTCGATTAATATTTAAAATATTATCAATGGAGCATACTATTAATATCAAGTAAAATCAGTATATTTTGCCGGTTTATAATCTATCATTTTCCATGAGATCCTTGTGACTCACTTATGAAGGGTCAAAACAATAATATTCTTTGATGATAAATTAATACTTATTTTATTCAATCATTTCTGATGTTTTAGCCTTTCAATTTTGGGTTCAGACAATACGGAAAAGTAATTACCTAAAACAAGACACACCAGATCCACGTGCAGCGCTTTAAGACGTTTACTTGCCGCCATGTAGGTCAGTGGGCAACAACATCACATGCATACACCACAACATTCCCTATGCAAGGCCGAGCGCACCACATTCCGTCCGGTTTCCGGGATATAAGCAATTTTTTATTGTTGCTTTAAAAAATGGTTTGACGGCGTGGGCAGCGATAGCGCGGTATTTTTTACTTAAATCGTCAGTGTTATATTTAATTAGGTTACATTACTCGTACAGATGAATTTGCTAAAGAAATTTTGCCTTGATTTTTTTTTCAAAAATGCGAGCAAACAAACTGCACCTTGCTGTGTGCAATGAAATTTGACTGTACGCTGGAACAATATTAATTTGCTCTATAGCATTCTGAGAACACTATGTTAACCATTTAAATGAGTTCCGCAACATATATGTTCTGATTCATTATATCTGTGAGGAAAAAATTCACGTATGAATTTCAACTCGTACTTATTCTGAAATTAAATTGCATTGAAAACAGAATAAATTTCTTCTTTAGCTGTTGATATTGCATGACTAAAAACTAACATCCTCTAGAAACTTTCGTATTTGAAAGCGACTTTCTGTCGCCATTTTCCTTCAAAAATATTCTTTAAATCCGCTCATGTGGTGCAATTAAAAATTTTTTATCGTTCTAATAAATATTTTTCAGTTGAGACCATCGACATGGCAGAAGACCTGGCAGAAGATCTTGCCCATCCTTGTCACCGGAACTGCAGCGACCAACCGCACGCCATGGTCTGCAACTATCATTTCAAGGTGAGACACTCAAGCGAGGTCTTTTACATTTACTTTTGTCGAACTTTTCCTCGCTCTAATTTTTGTCCTTGATGAAGTAGATGGAGAAATAAGCTAGGATATTATATATGAAATGGCGTGATAAAGGAGTATGATTGCATGGAAAATATGAACTAGGATATAATGTATGAAATAATGGGAAAAATGAGTATGAGTGGATGGAGAATATGAACTAGGATATTATTATATATGAAATAATGTGATATATTGGTGAATGTAGAATGTTAGCTTGCACATGATGTATGAGTAGATATAGAATATGACTCTCGCCCCCGCAGGCGGAGTGGTACACGACCCTAAGCAAGGCTTGCTACGACTGTCCCGACCCTGCCTCCGACTGCCGGCGGGCCCACTGCGTTGCTGCTGACGGGGTCAAGAGGCCCATCGTGACCGTCAACAGGAGGATGCCAGGGCCCTCCATCCAGGTGGGTTAACAGGAGGATGCTGGGCCCTCCATCCAGGTGGGCCAACAGGAGGATGCCAGGGCCCTCCATCCAGGTGGGTCAACAGGAGCATGCTGGGCCCTCCATCCAGGTGGGTCAACAGGAGCATGCTGGGCCCTCCATCCAGGTGGGTCAACAGGAGCATGCTGGGCCCTCCATCCAGGTGGGTCAACAGGAGCATGCTGGGCCCTCCATCCAGGTGGGTCAACAGGAGCATGCTGGGCCCTCCATCCAGGTGGGTCAACAGGAGCACGCTGGGCCCTCCATCCAGGTGGGTCAACAGGAGCATGCTGGGCCCTCCATCCAGGTGGGTCAACAACTGGATGTGGTCTAAGAGGTCCATCAAAACACCGTACCGCATCCCTGCTTCCAAAAGAATCATTTCACATTTTCCAAAGTATCTAAAAATCGTGCATCACCAGAAACGATATAAATTATTTCACTGATGGTTTATCGTAGATACATAATATTTTCATGCTGTCCATCGTTGTTGGTTGTATGGTTGGGCTGCTATTGGTGATATTGTACGAGCGCCCCACCCGCTGGCTGCATGCGCCCAGCGACGGCTTTCTCTTCAGCCCACGCCCACTTTTTTTGTGGGCTCTGCAATTACTGTCTCTTAATAAGGCACTAAAAAAATAATGATATATTGTTCAAACAGCGATGAATTTTTACGCTTGTCATTCTTTCCTAGTTTGGCCAGGCAAAAAGGAGTATCTGTGCACCGTGCAGAAAGTTTGTCGTTGTTTGAAAAAATATGACCCATTCCCTTTTCTGAATGCTGGACTCTTCGCCGTAGTCCCTAAGACGGCAAAAATCTCGAGTCTTTGATGCATATTTGCGACAGCGGGTCAAGCTCATAAAATGCATGTGTCATTGTTTAAATAGTGATGCACTTTCTTATACGCACAGCTCGAGCGAAGAGCAAACTGATATACTTGCCGAGACAAAGTGGGTAAAGATGAACCACTCAAGAGCATTAAGTGCATTGCTATCTGGACAAAGCTTTTCTCGTTTTTTTTTTTAGTGCAGGAACAATTGCCATAGAGAGGCATGATCAGCCATGTATAATATGAAGAGAAGTTACTCGTAATGCCGATATCTTTTTCGCAATTCTAGTGCACGCTGATATTAACACGCGTGGGAATTGATATTCTTGGGAATTCTCTTCCATTCTTCAACTATTAAAAGTTGTTTTATTAATAATGTAAGGTGAAGGTTGAAGGCCATCAGCCTTCAAGACCTCTACACGCTGATGTCAGAAACGAATCCTTTCTACACCAATAAAGAAATTCATTGCCTGCATCATATTCATCTCATCGTTTGATCTTGAATGTTCCCTACGAGACCGATGTAGCTCTATTGACTCCACAAAAGCCGTAGAAGTAGAATGAGGAATAATGCAGGTAGCAGCGGGATTTATAGGCAGAAACGGTATTGCGTAGAAGTAGACGAGCCATTATTAGGTAGAAATGGACGAGCTCTTTTTGAGTAGAGATAGACGTGACGGGTAGTAGATGCATGGGTGGTGATTAATAGAAACAGATAGTAGACTGGTAGAGACGAGGAGAAACAGGTAGATAGGTAGCGACGGCTAGAGACGAGTAGTAGACGGATAGTAGACGGGTAGAGAGACGGGTAAAGAGACGAGTAGAAAGGGTTATAGACGGACAGATACGGTTATAGACGGGTAGTAGACGGGTAGCGACAAGTAGCAGTAGACGGGTGGCCATGAAGGCACATCAATATGTGACCTCTCAGTTACGTAAGTGTTCAGCGCAGACATGCCTTACGTAACCGACCTCACTTCACGTGTGCACCGCTGTGGTGGCTGTGAACTTGTGCATCAATATCATGCTTAAAATCTAATATATAATAATATCTCGTATAAAATATCAATATAGAATCTAATCTATATTATGCCGCCCAGTGTTCAAAACGAAGCAATTTCTAGTGAAAATACTACGTTATATCACAACATTGACCAAAAGTGCAAATAACGAGCAAGTCGTATACGATTAAAATTTGTATTTTACACACATTATTTGCCATCTTAGTCCTTCAGAACTCGTATTTAATGTCCTATTTCTATGCATGGTTATAAATAAAATATTGGCTATAATAGTAGTGATTTAAATTATTATTACCATACTTAAATTTCATTATAAATAATACGAAGTTGCCTTTATTTAACGTATCAAGTTAAGATTCAAGTGATGCAAGCTGCCATCTAATGCTAACCAGAGATATTGCATTATTATTGAATTATTCGTACGAGTTTCAACAAGAAAATTTTGCCATCTAATGCTAAACAGAGATAAATACACAAATTAGTTTAGGCGGTCAGTAGGTCGTATATAGGTTCACCTTGCTCCTGTATCAGTGGCACGCTAACGAGGCCGTCAAAACTGATATGTCAAGTGCAGGGGCCGGATGACTTTATTGGTTTGTTAAACAAATTTGAAACAAATTTGTTTAAGAAAACAAATTTGAAGTTTGAGACTATGAAAAAGTTTAGTTATGCAAAAAAGTATCTCCATCTCTCATTACTCCTTTAATTAGAGATATGAAAACAAGTGTATTTGTGTGTTAGCGATCATAATGATTCTGCAATCGCTTCAAGTTATGTGGTACGACAAATGGCCAATATTGGCAATGGTGTCGACGGTGCTTGTGCCAAATGTGATAGACATTTTCTCCTGTGAACGAAATGGCTAATCCATATCAAATTTATGAAAACAAGTTATAAAGTGTACACAAACAGCAAATAATATCCATATAAGCACACAGAACTTGCTGACTGCTTACCGAATAGCCAGGCACGGGTATGTAAACATTGTTCCATATGTTATTCCTATCGTTAAAGTCCACTTATATTCCTTAATGTGATATAATATTCGATTATTTGAGGCAAACTCTATTATTATGCTTAAACGAATTACTCATATCTCGTGATCTCTTTATATTGTTATTTTTATTGTCGTCATTCTACACATTTCCATTTGATCTCATTTCACTCGTGACGTTTCGTCTCTACTTCGACAAATGCATTTTGCTCTTTTCTATTTTTAATATTCTTTCTGATTTTGTGCACTATCATTGCAATCCACTTTTATTCATAATGCTCTATTGCGCAATATATACTCGCATTCATTCACATTTGCCCTCGCGACCTTCTCGCTCTGATGCATTGCAGCGCGGAACAGCTTCTGAAGAGCGCTCGGATTATCGCTCTGTGTTGTCAAGGTCTGGACACGAGAGCGAATGACTGGCAATATGGTCTGTTACGAAGCTGTTATGGGCTGTTACGATGCTGTTATGGGCTGTTACGAAGCTGTTATGGGCTGTTGCGAAGCTGTTATGGGCTGTTGCGAAGCTGTTATGGGCTGTTGCGAAGCTGTTATGGGCTGTTGCGATGCTGTTATGGGCTGTTACGAAGCTGTTATGGGCTGTTACGAAGCTGTTATGGGCTGTTACGAAGCTGTTATGGTCGGTTACGAAGCTGTTATTATATATGATTACTCTCAGGGAAATGAGTGAGACATAGTCCGAGTAGCGAAGCACTTTTTGCCTTTTCCTGGGTCATTATAACCTAGTGTGATCAGGGTAAAGGCGTAGCAGTGATACGTCCAGAGTTCTGTGCTCATGCTTCGGGCAAGAAGGTATGTCACTATTTGGACAAGAGGACAAGATCAACCATTCATTTTTCTAAGTGTATCTCGTGGAAGCAGACTACCGAGCTTTTCGTTGCGAACAGACTATATTTATGCCACTAATTAATACATGTATGCTCACTTCTGAGTTAATATCAAGTAATTTTTTCAGAAAAATAAGTGAAGTTTTGTCGGAGCATACAGCAATGAAATTTTTTATCTCTTCTGGGTCAGCATAACCTAGTTTTTCCAGGCAAAAGGCCTTTATTATGAGAGCTACGGGCATAAAGTACGTTAATATGACCCATTAATTTTCCATAGTGTTACATTGCTGTAGTTCCTTTATTACTAAAATTATTTATAACAACGTATAACTATTCATTCATTAATTTAAAAAATTCATTCAAAAAGGTATCTGAATTTTCAATAAATTATTTTTGGATTGCATGCATCCTTCAAACGATTTCTATGGAACTGTCGTAGTCAATATACATTCAGACTTGCGGCACGCAAATGCATGCAATGACATGTTTAGTTTGACTACTGAATTCGATGCAACCTTTACACGATTTACGTTGCGATATCAAAATCAAAATACACGCGTGCGTGGCGTTCGAAGGTCACGTAGCCATGCACTGTTCATACATTTGTCTTCATTAACCCAGTCTAAATCGACCGGACTCTGTACTGAAAAGTGTGATGAACGTCGCTGATTCAGCCAAGCTATTAGTCTCTACCCGACGGCGGTATTCGAATTCAGGATCTGCTTTTATACTGCAAGTTTAAAGTGCCTTTGTTATGGAGACCTGCTGTTCCACACTGCACTTACATGGAGACCTGCTGTTTCACACTGCACTTACATGGAGACCTGCTGTTCCACACTGCACTTTCATGGAGACCTGCTGTTCCACACTGCACTTTCATGGAGACCTGCTGTCTCACACTGCACTTACATGGAGTACTGCTGTTCCACACTGCACTTTCACGGAGACCTGATGTTCCACACTGCACTTTCATGGAGACCTGCTGTCTCACACTGCACTCTCATGGAGACCTGCTGTTCCACACTGCACTTAAATGGAGACCTGCTGTTTCACACTGCACTTACATGGAGTACTGCTGTTGATACTGCGCGTTTATAAAACCTGATGTTTAATACTGCTCGTTTATGCCTTATCACTCACGCCGTAAATTGCGTACTCATTTCACGAGCTAATTTTCCAGGCCTAAAGAGTGCCAAACAAGGCTGTCGCGTGCTATACTTGGATCGTTGACAATTACCGTTTTTTACCAAACGTTTATGGTCATTCTTACTTCTAATTTGATGAA